AATGACAATGTTCTCCTCCACCGTGTGGGACAGCAGCTCGAAGGAGTTCATCACCTCGATGTTCCGGCCCTCCTGCCGCCCGATCAGTGCCCCGATCACTGGCAGACACGGTGGAGGGGTGTCACGGGGAGCCAGGACCCTCTCAGGGCTGGAATCACGGGCCTGGACCCTCAGACCACAGGAACCCGCTGGTTTACGGGCTGGACCCTCCATCCCTGGCTCAGTGGGGGTGCGGGGCACAAATGCAGCCTTAAGCAGCAGATGCCCCCACAGCCCCCGCCAGCCCGGCAGGACCGGAGGTCTAGGGGCAAGGTGTGCCCTGACTCCCAAGAGCAGCCGCGAAGGGAACAGGGGGAGGGGTCCTCAGAGCAGCGCTGGGACGGGACCCAGCCGGGTGTCACGCCGGGAGGCTTGGCCTGCATCCGGGGGACCCCCGGGCTGGCGGCTGCTGGAGCGGGGGGGCCACCCAGAGGCTTGAGCGGGGCGGGCGAGGCGCGGAGGCTGGTACCTTGCACGGGGCGCCCCTCCTGCGAGCGCATGCGGATCCAGTGGTCGGAGATGTTGAGGATCACCAGCGGGTGCAGGGCCACCGAGACGCTGCCCGTCACGCCCGACGCCATGACGGTGGGGAGCACTGAGGGGGGGGGAACGCGGTGAGCGGGGGGGAGGGAAACAATCGGGGCGGGGCAGTGAGCCCCACTGGACACCTCTGGGGTCCCTGCCCCTCGGGGGGGTCCTCGAGGGCAGACTGGGGCATGGGCCCATGAGAGGGGCGGAGCCCCATAGGGAGGGGGTGGGGTCTCTCAGGGGCTGGGCACAAGGGGAAGGGGGAGGAGTCTCATAGGGGGCGTGGCCTATTGGAAGAGGCGTGGCCCGCACGAGGCCACTCTGGGGCGGGCCTGAGGGGAAAGGAGGGGGCGGGGCCTCTGAGGGGGCGGGGCGAGAGGGACCTCGGAGGGGGCGACGTCTGCGCCTGGAGGAGATCCTGAGCGCGCGTGGCCCGAGGGGAAGGGGCGGGGCCTGCGCGCAGAGGGGTTTCTGAGGGGGCGTGGCCCGAGGGGAGGGGGCGGGGATCTGCGCGCGGAGGGGTTCCTGAGGGGGCGTGGCCCGAGGGGAGGGGGCGGGGTCTGCGCGCGGAGGGGTTCCTGAGGGGGCGTGGCCCGAGGGGAAGGGGCGGGGCCTGCGCGCGGAGGGGTTCCTGAGGGGGCGTGGCCCGAGGGGAGGGGGCGGGGTCTGCGCGCGGAGGGGTTCCTGAGGGGGCGTGGCCCGAGGGGAGGGGGCGGGGTCTGCGCGCGGAGGGGTTCCTGAGGGGGCGTGGCCCGAGGGGCGGGGGCGGAGTCTGCGCGCGGAGGGGTTCCTGAGGGGGCGTGGCCCGAGGGGCGGGGGCGGAGTCTGCGCGCGGAGGGGTTCCTGAGGGGGCGTGGCCCGAGGGGCGGGGGCGGGGTCTGCGCGCGGAGGGGTTCCTGAGGGGGCGTGGCCCGAGGGGCGGGGGCGGGGTCTGCGCGCGGAGGGGTTCCTGAGGGGGCGTGGCCCGAGGGGCGGGGGCGGGGTCTCGCTGGCCTCCTCCGGCCCCGCCCTGACCCCGCCCGCCCGCGGCGGGCCGGTACCTGCCGCGTCCACCTCCATCCCGCCGGCCCCGGAGCCCCCGTTGCTCCCCGCCGCCGAGCAGGAGGCCCCGGCCGCCGCCGCCGCCATCTTGACGCCGTTTGTCCCGGCGGGGCCGCTGAAGCCAAGTCCCCGCGCTCTGCGCCTGCGCCCTACGGCCGCCGCTTTAGGGAGCCCCGCCCCCTCCCCCGCGCGCCAGCTTCTGGCGCATGCGCTGTGCGAGGGCAAGAGGCCGCCGGCGTCGGGAGCATGCGCATTTGCAAAGGTTAGAGCTCCATTGGCCATAGGACTCCGCGCCGCGGCCCCGCGCATGCGCGGAGGAAACGGAACCTTCACGTGAGGCGCTTCGGTTCCGGCCCCGGCTCAGGGCGGCGGCGGCTGGGAACCGCCCCCCCCGGGCCCCCCCGTGCTCTGCCCCGCCCCCCCCGGGCCCCGCCCCGCCCCCCCGGAACCGCCCCCCTCCGGGCCCCCCCGTGCTCTGCCCCGCCCCCCCGCAACCGCCCCCCCCGGGCCCCCCCGTGCTCTGCCCCGCCCCCCCGGGCCCCGCCCCCCGCCCCCGCAACCGCCCCCGGCCCGTGCTCTGCCCCGCCCCCCCCGCCCCGCCGAACCGCCCCCTCCGGGCCCCCCCGTGCTCTGCCCCGCCCCCCGCAACCGCCCCCCCGGGGCCCCCCCGTGCTCTGCCCCGCCCCCCCGGGGCCCGCCCCGCCCCCCCGCAACCGCCCCCCGGGCCCCCCCGTGCTCTGCCCCCCCCCCGGGCCCCGCCCCGCCCCCGGCCCCCCTGCTCTGCCGGGCCCCCCCGGGCCCTGCCCCGCCCACCCGCAACCGCCCCCCCCCGGGCCCCCCCGTGCTCTGCCCCGCCCCCCCGTGCCTGCCCCGCCCCCCGGGCCCCGCCCCGCCCCCGGGCCCCCCCGTGCTCTGCCCCGCCCCCCGGGCCCCGCCCCGCCCCCCGGAACCGCCCCCCCGGGCCCCCCGTGCTCTGCCCCGCCCCCCGGGCCCCGCCCCCCCCCCCGGGCCCCCCGTGCTCTGCCCCGCCCCCCCGGGGCCCCGCCCCCCCGCAACCGCCCCCTGTGCTCTGCCCCGCCCCCGCACCGCCCCCGGGCCCCCCGTGCTCTGCCCCCCCCCCGCAACCGCCCCCCCCCGGGCCCCCCGTGCTCTGCCCCGCCCCCCACAACCGCCCCCCCCCGGGCCCCCTGTGCTCTGCCCCGCCCCCCGGGCCCCGCCCCGCCCCCCGCAACCGCCGTGCTCTGCCCCGCCCCCCCGGAACCGCCCCCCGGGCCCCCCCCGTGCTCTGCCCCGCCCCCCGCAACCGCCCCCCCCGGGCCCCCCCGTGCTCTGCCCCGCCCCCCCGGGCCCGCCCCCCCCCCGGATCCGCCCCCCCGGGCCCCGCCCCGCCCCCCCGGAACCGCCCCGTGCTCTTCCCCGCCCCCCCGCAACCGCTCCCCTGTGCTCTGCCCCGCCCCCCGGGCCCCGCCCCGCCCCCCGGAACCGCCCCCCGGGCCCCCCGTGCTCTGCCCCGCCCCCCCGGAACCGCCCCTCCCGGGCCCCGCCCCCCCGGACCACCCCGTGCTCTGCCCCGCCCCCCCCGGAACCGCCCCTCCCGGGCCCCGCCCCCCCGGAACCGCCCCCCCGGGCCCCGCCCCCCGCTCGCTCCCTCACCTGCCCCCAGACCCCCCTCGGGCCGCCCCTCTGCACTGCCCCTGGACCCTCCCGCTCCCAGGCCCCCCCGGCACCGCGCCCCTCGCTCCCTCTCCTGTCCCCCCCGGACCCTCCCGCTCTGCGCCCCCCACCGGCACTGCCCTGCTCTGCTCCCCCCTCGGCCCCCCCGCTCCTCCTCCTTGGCCCCCCGGCACCGCCGCCCCCGCTCGCTCCCTCGCCTGCCCCCAGACCCCACCCAGGCCGCCCCTCTGCACCGCCCCTGGACCCTCCCGCTCCCAGGCCCTCCCGGCACCGCGCCCCTCGCTCCCTCTCCTGCCCCCGCAGGCCCCCACCCGCTCTGCCCCCCCCCCACCGGCACTGCCCTGCTCTGCTCCCCCCCTCGGCCCCCCCTGCTCCTCCTCCTGGGCCCACCCCCGACCCCCCCCGCTCCCTCGCCTGCACCGCCCCTGGACCCTCCCGCTCCCAGGCCCCCCCAGCACCGCGCCCCTCGCTCCCCCTACCCAGGCCCCCCCCCCTTCCCCCCCCCCCCCCCCCCCCCCCCCTCCCCCCCCCCCCCCCCCCCCCCCCCCCCCCCCCCCCCCCCCCCCCCCCCCCCCCCCCCCCCCCCCCCCCTCCTGACCCACCGCCCCAGGCCCCAGCACCGCGCCCCTCCTCCCCTGCTCTGTGCCCCCGTCCCCCCCACCGGCACTGCCCTGCTCTGCTCCCCCCTCGGCCCCCCCGGCACCACCACCCCTGCTACCTTGCCTGCCCACCCTGGACCCTACCGCTCCTCCTCCTGGGCCCCCCCGGCACCGCCGCCCCCATTTGCTCCCTCGCCTGCCCCCAGACCCCCCCCCCAGGCCGCCCCTCTGCACCGCCCCTGGACCCTCCCGCTCCCAGGCCCCCCAGCACCGTGCCCCTCGCTCCCTCTCCTGCCACCACAGGCCCCCCCCCTGCTCTGCCCCCCCCACCGGCACTGCCCTGCTCTGCTCCTCCCCTCGGCCCCCCCGCTCCCTCACCTGCCCCCCCATGGACCCTCCCGCTCCCCCCGCCCTTCCCGCTTCCAGGCCACCCCTCGACACAGCCCCCCTCGCTCCCTCTCCTGCCCCCCCCGGGCTCCTCCTCCCGGCACCGGCCCCCCGCGGCCCCCCCGCTCCTCCTCGCACTCCCAGGCCCCCCTGGCACCGCCCCCCTGCTCTGCCCCCTGCGGCCCCACCCGCTCGCTCCCTCGCCTGCCCCCAGACCCCCCCCCCCGGGCCGCCCCTCTGCACCACCCCCGGACCCTCCTGCTCCCCTACTGCTCCGAGGCCCCCCTGGCACTGCGCCCCTCGCTCCCTCTCCTGCCCCCACAGGCCCCCCCGCTCTTCACCCCCCCACCGGCACTGCCCTGCTCTGCTCCCCCCTCGGCCCCCCCCGCTCCTCCTCCTGGGCCCCCCCGGCACCCCGCACCCGCTCCCTTGCCTTCCCCCCCAGACCCTCCCGCCCCTCCCGCTTCCAGGCCACCCCCCGGCACCGCCCCCCTCGCTCCCTCTCCTGCACCCCCCAGGCTCCTCCTCCAGGGACCGCCCCCCTCGGCCCTCCTGCTCCTCCTCTCGGCCCCCCCAGCACTACCCCTCCCCCCCGCACCAGGCACCATCCCCAGACCCTCCCCCGGTCCACCCCTGGCACCGCCCCCTCGCTCCCTCTCCTGCCCCCAGACCCCCCCGGGGCCACCCCTCTGCACTGCCCCCGGGACCCTTCCGCCCCCGGCCCCCCCGCTCCCTCTCCTGCCCCCGGACCCTCCCTGCTCCCTCTCCTGGGCCCCCTCCCGCTCCTACTCCTGCACACACCCCATCACACCAACACGTTGCACACGCACACACCCCGTCGCACAACGCGTTGCACGTGTGCACACACCTCATCGCGCACATACCTTGTCTCACACACACCCCGTTGCACGTACACACACAACACGTCGCGCACACACAACACGTCGCACAACACACGTTGCACGCCCACCCCTGTCGTGCACACAGAGCACGTTGCACAACACCCCTGGGGTTGGTCAGACCTGCCACACACGGCACCCCACCACGATCATGCACACACCACACCCTCTCACACACAACACATCACAACCACACACACACGCAGGCCACCGTCACTGTTGCACACCATATTCACACCCAACGCCCACTTCTCACGTACAATACCACTCACAGCCATACCCCCCTCCTGATACACCCAGCCCAACACATCTCACATATCACATGACATTCACGCCCGCCCCCTCACACCTCACGTGCGACCACACCACAGTCACATACCACACTCACCCCCCCCACCGCAATGTCACACCCACAGCAGCAGGAAGCTGGTCTCGGAAGCATTTTGCAAACAATCAGATTACTTAATAATGGGAATTTCCCAGCCCTGGGGCTGTTTCCCGTCAGCCTCCCCCCTCCTCCCCGTGGGCACAAGACGGGGGCTTCCCGCTCCCCTGGCCCGGCATGCGGGCAAATCAGCCAAAAATGATTTGTGCTACGTTGGGGGAGGGGTGAAAAGGACAGCAAAACGCAGGTTGGGTGTGTCAGGCTGAGTGGGGAGGCGTGCGTGGGTGTGAGCAGAGGTGTGCAGGGCGTCGGTGCAAGTGTGTAAGGTGTACAGGGCGTAGGTGTGAGTGAAGGCATATTGCGTGTGCATGAAGTGTGTGCAGGAAGAAAGGGTATGAATGTGTTGAACTGCGGGGGGGGTGCACGCGTGTGTTTGGGTTAGTGTGTGTGTTCTTATGGTGCAAGGATGTCTGTTCACACGGTTGTGAGTGTGTGTGCAGAGCGTCAGTGTGCATTTGTGTCTCGTGTGTGTGTATGTGAGGGAGCGGGAGGCTGAGTGTGTGCCTGTGTGTGTGTTCGGTCGGGGGGGCGGCAGACAGCAGCTGGTCTGTATGTAGGTGTAACGCCCATCGGCTGAGGGCCCCCCTCCCCGGGGGGGCTTTCACCCCAAAGGGAAAGGAGCTGCTGGCTCCAGGAACAGCAGGGTCGCTAGATGCCCAGGGACAGACCTGGTGCCCCTCGGCCATGGAGCCAGCAGCCTCGCACCAAACACAGGGAGCCACAAGCGATGACTTGCTGGGACCCCTGGCAGCCCCCCAGGGCTGGTCTTATTGGGGATCAGCCCCCGCCCTGCCAAGGCAAATCGTCTGCCCAGGGTTAAGGTGTTCTCCCGTCCCTGCTGGGGAACCTCCTCCCTGGCTAAGGGGCGGGATTAGGGTATTTTCACTTCCCCCCACCCCGCCTGGGCCTCCACCCTGGACAAGCGGGTCGAGCAGCCCAGTTTATCTGAGCCTGGACTCTCCCCAGAGAAGCCGCAAGATCCTGGTTCCCATGGACGGGGTAAGTCAAAGCCACGCTGGGGGTCGGTGGGTCTCCCTGGGTCCGGGGGCCGAGGGGCGGGGGGTGGTGGTCTGGTTGGGACAGGTGGGAAAGGGTTGGGTTGGGGCAGGGGATCCCTGTATCTAGGGCAGCTGGGAGAAGGGAGGGATGCCTGGGGCTGCGCTACACTTGTGGGGGGAAGGGGTCCCCTGTAGGGTTGAGGGCAGGTCCCACCCATGGGGAGCTTGCTTCTGCTGTGCAGCCCCACCCAGTTGCTGAGATGCTGAGCAGAGAGTGGGGAGTTTGGGGGAGACAGGGCAGAGGGAGGCACCATGGTGGAGAAGGGGTTGGGGTTCCCTCATCCTGCTATGGGAACAAGGGGTTGTGGGATGCAGTGGGGGAAGGAGAGGGCCCCTGGGGGCAGGTTACCCCAGAACTGACACAAGGTGGGGTCACCCCATCCCCTGCATCCTGACCCCCCTGGGTGTCCTGTCCCGGGGGTCAGCCAGGCTCGGGAATCTCTGTCCCTAGGGCAGCTCATTTCACCTACCTGCTACTGGGTACGGGGCTGAGCAGGGTTCTAAACAGGATGTGTGTGTGTGGGGGGGGGGGGGGGTTATATGGAGAATGACAACATCCAGAGTTATCCCAGGAGACCCCCTCCCCGAGTCAGGGAGAGAACCCAGGCGCCCTGGCTCCCAGTCCCCCTGCTCTAACCCACCAGCCCCCGCTCCCCTCCCCAAGCCGGGGAGAGAACCCAGGAGTCCTGTGGGCAGCCAGGTGATGGGGGGTATGGCGCAGGCAGAGGGAACTCACTCTGCCAACTGGCGCCCAAATTTCTTCCTGCCCATCCCATCGCAGCCTGGCTCTGACCCCGGGTCCCCGCTGGCCTCCTCCCCTCCTGCAGCGGGCAGCCCCGCCTGTGTGCGCAGCAGGGTGCAGATCCCGTTAAGCAGCATTTGGGTTGCGACACGGTTCCTCGGTGCCAGGCCGCCCCCTCCCCACACACAGCAGACGCCCCCTCCCCACACACAGCAGACGCCCCCTCCCCCTGTACCTTGGGCATTCCTAGCATCCTCCTTTGCAGCTCCCTCCCGGGCTCTTCCCAGGGCTCTGGGATCCAGGGGCAGCCCCCTCCCTGCACATGGGGGTGGGGGGGGAGCTCAGTTCTTGGGCGCTAATGGGGCCCCCGGGACACAGCCTCTCCCCCCCGCCTCCCCGGGACCCTGCGCTGGGATGCAAACAAGGAGATTACTGGGCCCCATCCGACGTGTAACTGCACAAAGCCAACCGTAGAGTTGGGAGTGAGGGGCACCAGCAGAGCTGGGGGGGGGGGGCAGGGCTGGGCTGGGCTGTGTGTTGGGAGTGAGGGGCCGCCGGCAGGGCTGGGGGGGGCAGGGCTGGGCTGGCAGGGGCTGCGGGTCGGGAGTGAGGGCCAGCCGAGCTCTGTGTGGGTTTTAACCTCCGTCCCTCCCTCCCTCCCTCCCAGCCTCGCTGGACCCTGGCCGCGAACGCCTCGGCGCTGCCCCCCAACGAGACGGGTTGCGGGGAACAGGCCGACTTCCAGTACGTGCTGTTCCCCGTGGTTTACAGCCTGGTCTTCGTGCTGGGCCTGGCCGGGAACCTCTCCGTGCTCTGGTATTTCCTGCGCACCCGGACGGCCACCGCCCCGGCCAACATCTTCCTGGCGAACCTGGCGTCCCTCGACCTGATCTTCGTGCTGACCCTGCCCTTCCGCGTGGCCTACCACGCCCTGCGCAATGACTGGGTGTTCGGGGAGGCCCTGTGCAAGATCACCGGCTCCCTCTTCTACGCCAACCTGTACGGCAGTTCCCTCTTCCTCACCGGCATCTGCCTGGAGCGCTACGTGGCCGTGGTGCACCCGCTCCGCTCGCTCCGCCTGCGCCGGCCCCTCTACCGTGTGGCCAGCTGCCTGGCCATCTGGGCCCTGCTGGCCGTGGCCGTGCTGTACCTGACACTGCGGGGGCCCCTGACCCGCCCCTTCCCCGACGGGCGCCTGGCCTGCCTGGAGAACTTCTCCAGCGACTCCTGGAAGGGCCGCATCTCCAGGGTCAGCCTCTTCGCCGCCGCCGTGGGCTTCCTGGTGCCGCTGGCACTCATCGGCGTCTGCTACCCGCTCATCGCCCGCCGGCTGCTGGAGACGCCGGGCATGGCGCCCGGCTCGCGGGCTGCCCGGCGCAAGGCGCTGCGCACAGTGATGGTTGTGCTGGCGGTGTTCCTGCTCTGCTTCGCCCCCTACCACCTCACCCAGGCGGTGCACACGCTGTGGCGGCTGGGGGCGCTGGAGGGCTGCCAGCTCCTCCGCGGCACCTACGCCGCCCGGCGCGTCACCATGGCCCTGACCAGCCTCAACGCCTGCCTGGACCCGCTGGTCTATTACTGCGCGGCCGAGCGCTTCGCCTGGAGCCCGCCCTGCAGCGGCCGGTGCTGCTGGGGGCGGCCGGCTGCCTCCGGGGACGCCCAGGGCTCGGGGCTGCAGGCACTGGACAGCAGAGCCTCCCGGGGGGCCCACGCCGAGACAGTGACCTCGTCCCACGGCACCCGTGGAGGGGCCTGAAGGGTCCCCCCGTGCTCGGCTCATGGGGATACACCAATGGACTCCCCCCCGCTTGCTGCGCCGTGGGCCCCGGGGCCCTGCGTCCCAGCTCTCGGTGTTACCCTCCCCCGGAGCAGCGATGTTGGGTTCTCTGCTGCTGGAGAAGGGAGGGATGGTGAACAGTGTTACAGGGGTGTGTACGTCCGTGTAGTATTACGTGTACGCACAGCCGTGTGTGTGTGTGAGCGAGCGCACAGATGTGCCAAAGACCAAGGGGTCGCCGTCTCTCCCTTGTTCACGCCTGCCGGGACCATCAGATCTCACCAGATTGGACGGACGCTGTGTGTGCGTGCGTGGGAGGGAGCCTGTGGGTGTGGTGGGTGTGACTGTGTGCACCAGGGTGTGAGTCTGTGTGCTTGTTACAGGAGCGTGTGTGTGTTTTACCCCTGTGAACGGCTGAGCTTGCATCTCCTTGGCTGTGACACTGTGTGGGACTGTCCTGTGAGGAAAGGTGTGACTCGGGAGGGTTGTACCTGCCCCGTTAGGTGTGTGTCTGTGTGTGTGAAACAGAGAGAGAAACCCTGGGCAGGGGGCACTGGGGGACACTGGCATTTGTGTGTCTTGGGGTGGAGGGAGGCAGCTGTGTGCGTCTGGGACAGTTGCAGCTAGTTGTGTGTGTGCACGACACTGCAGGGTGCTGGGTTTTGTGTGGGGTGCTGAGATGTGTGATGCTGCGTTGTGCAATGCTCTGTGTGTGTATGTGACCTGGTGCTGGGGTATGTGTGTGTGATCCTGGGATGTGCGATTTGCGTCTGAACAACTGGCGGGGAACCTGTGAGTCGTGGAACCTCCCCTGTTTTGTATTTGTGTCCTGCTCCCCCCGTCCCGGCTCTTTTGTACATTTTGCACTTTCCTGCCAAGTAAAAGCAATGTTTCCATCGTGCTACGTCCCGTCCCTCCCTGCGCAAACACCCCCCGGATTCGCCTCACAACACCCCAGGCTCAGCACAGGCCCCAGGGGGCCCAGGGCTGGAGTGAGGGGCCCCGGCGGAGCTGGGGGGGGCCAGGGCTGGGCTAGCAGGGACTGTGGGTCGGGAGTGAGGGGTACCGGCGGAGCTGAGGGAGGCAGGGGCGTGGCTGGGTCACATGTGGTCTCCCTGCTGCCCCCTCTCCCCCCCCCCCCCGGTCCATGACGCCCCTGGTGGGGCTGGAGGCTCCGGATGCGGTGCGGCAGCTCCCAGGGACCCGATGGGCAGGGCAAGGTGAGTCCTGCCCCCCCGGGGCGACTGTTTGTGTCTTTGTCTCCAGCCTGGGGAGCCCGGGGCAGGGAGAGCCAGGGGAAGGGGGGTGAGGGGCATGGAGGGGGGAAGGAGGGGGGTGAGTGGGGGGATGATGGAGTACAGTGGTGTGTATGGGGGTGAGGGGGGATGGAGGGGTGTATGTGGGGCTGTATAGGGGGATGGAGGGGTACAGGGATGGGGATGGGAGTATGGGGGCATGGAGGGGTGTATATGCGGGAGGGAGGGATGTATGGGGGGATGGAGGGGTGTATAGGGCTGTATGGGGGATGGAGGGAAGTGAGGGGGATGGATGGAGGGGTGCGTGAGGGGTATATATGGGGTTGGATGGAGGGAGGAGGGGTGTGGGGGCATGGAGGGGTGTATATGGGGAGGGAGGGGTGTGGGGGCATGGAAGAGTGTGTATAGGGATTGAGGGATGTATGGGGGTGATGGAGGGGTGTATAGGGCTGGATGGAGGGGAGTGAGGGATGTATGTGGGGGATGGAGGGGTGTATAGGGCTGGATGGGGGATGGAGGGGAGTGAGGAGGATGGATGGAGGGGTGCGTGAGGGGTATATGGGGCTGGATGGAGGGAGGAGGGGTGTGGGGGCATGGAGGGGTGTGTATAGGGATTGAGGGATGTTTTGGGGGGATGGAGGGTGGGTATAGGGCTGGATGGGGGATGGAGGGGGTGAGGGTATATGGGGATGGCACAATGGAGGGGCGTGGGGAGGGGGTGAAGAAATGTGTATGGGGAGGAGGAAGGTAGATTAGATTCCCCCCCCCAGCTCCGATGCCCCCCCAAGCCCTGTCTCCGATCTGTGGGTGCCCTGCGGCTAATGCCTCCCCTGCAGGGATCTGGGCGCTGTGTGGGAGGCAGGGCCCCTGCTGCTCTCTGGGGTTCAGGGCCGGCACCTGCCTCCCCTGGGCTGAGGGGCTGGGACCCAAACCTCGTGTGCCCTGGCGGGGGCCAGGGACATTCTCCTTGCCAGCCGCCAGGGGTCACTGCTCCACCCCACAGCTTGCAGCAGACACCAGCCTAGGGACCAGTGGTAAATCCAAACGCTGCCAGCCTCCAGCATCAATGGCCTTCCTTGTGCCTCACCCCAGAGCCAGCCGCCTCTCAGGGCCAGGTCAGGGGTCCCTGTATAAACATCCCCCGTGCTCCACCCCAGACCTGGCTGCATCTCACTGAGCTCCTCTTCACCCCCAGGCCGATGGACCCATGCCGGTGGCCGCGCTTGCCCCGGAGGTCAGGCCGGGGCTGCATCTACGTCGCCTTCGCCGGCCTGTGCCTTGCAGTGTACCTGCTGGGCCTGGAGACGGGGCTGGTGCTGCAGCTTGGGGGCCGGCAGGGGGCCCGGGGGGCACCAGCCGCGCCAGGGAGAAGATCATCCGGGGCCTCAACATGTCCCCGGGGACCAACAGCACCGCCTTTCCCTCCAGCAAGGCCAGCCGGATGCCTGGGTCCCCTGGGGAGGGGCCTAGGCCCCCCCAGCCAGGGGCTGGCTCCCCGGAACTGGCAGCTTCTCCCGGCGCCTGATGGAGGTGCTGTTCGGGGGGTGGCACCAGGAGGGGACCCCACGGCTCAGTGGCCCTGGGGGCCCCTTGCCCTGGCACCTCTGGAAGGAGGAGATGTCCCCGCAGATGCTGGGCCCACGGCTCCAGCGCGTCTTCAAGAGCTACCAGGCCGGGAACAAGTACCAGGTGCCCCTCGGGGCCGGGGCCGGGCGGACAGGGCCGGGGCTGCTGTGCCAGCTGAAGGCTCGGTGACGGTGCGGACCCTGCACCCGGGGGAGGGGCCCTTCTCCGCCCCCGAGTGGAGGGGGGTCCTGCCCCAGAGGGACCTGGTGGAGGAGCTGGGCCCCCTGCACACCTGCGCTGTGGTGAGCTCGGCCGGGTCCCTGCAAAATTCGGGCCTTGGCAAGGAGATCGGTGAGTGCACGGGGAGTGTGAGGGCAGGTGGCCCGATTTGCACAAGTGGTGTGCTAGCAGAAGCAGCCCCATTTGCACAAGGAGGGTGTGAGCGTGAGCAGCCCCATTCGCACAGGGGGCACTCGGGGGCGTGCGACCTCTCTGCCCAGGCGCCCACGAAGCGGAGCTGAGGTTCAACACGGCCCCGACGGCCGGCTACGAGCGCGACGTGGGCTCCAAAACCACCCTGCGGCTGCTCAACTCCGGGGGGGGGGGGGGGCTGTGGGGGGGAGGAGCCAGGGAGGGTCAGCAGGGGGCAGTTCTGGAGCTGGAGGTGAGGGATGGGGGGGTTTGCAGGGATGGGGAGGAGGCAGCTGGGGGGTTGCAGCATATGGGAAGAGGTGGTTGGGGGAGCTGGGGGGGTGTAGTAGGGCGGGGGAGGCGGTTGGGGGGGTTGCAGGGGAGGGGGTGGTTGGGGGGCTGGGGGGTTGTAGTAGGGTGGGGGAGGAGGTGGTTGGGGGGCTGGAGGTTTGCAGGGCGGGAGAGGAGGCGGTTGGGGGGCTGGGTGGTTGCAGGGCAGGGGGAGGGGGCACTTGGGGGGCTGGGGGGTTGTAGTAGGGGCGGGGGAGGCGGTTGGGGGAGCTGGGGGGTGTAGTAGGGCGGGAGGAGGCGGTTGGGGGGCTGGGGGGTTGCAGGGGGGGGTGGTTGGGGGGCTGGGGGTTGTAGTAGGGTGGGGGAGGAGGTGGTTGGGGGGCTGGAGGTTTGCAGGGCGGGGGAGGATGCGGTTGGGGGGCTGGGGGGTTGTAGTGGGGGGGGGAGGCGGTGGGGGACGGGGGTTGCAGGGAAGAGGAGGGAGTGGTTGGGGGGTTGAGGGTGGGGGAGCAGGCAGCGGGGGGTGCAGAGAGGGGAGGAAGGGTTGGGGGGTGGGGGGTTGTAGTAGGGCAGGGGAGGAGGCGGTTGGGGGCTGGGTGGTTGCAGGGCAGGGGAGGGGGCACTTGGGGGCTGGGGGGTTGTAGTAGGGCGGGGGGAGGCGGTTGGGGGAGCTGGGGGGTGTAGTAGGGCGGGAGGAGGCGGTTGGGGGGCTGGGGGGTTGCAGGGAGGGGGTGGTTGGGGGGCTGGGGGTTGTAGTAGGGTGGGGGAGGAGGTGGTTGGGGGGCTGGAGGTTTGCAGGGCGGGGGAGGATGCGGTTGGGGGGCTGGGGGGTTGTAGTAGGGTGGGGGGAGGCGTGTGGGGGACTGGGGGTTGCAGGGAAGAGGAGGGAGTGGTTGGGGGGGTTGCAGGGTGGGGGAGCAGGCAGCTGGGGGGTCGCAGAGCAGGGGAGGAAGCGGTTGGGGGGCTGGGGGGTTGTAGTAGGGCAGGGGAGGAGGCGGTTGGGGGGCTGGGGGGGTCGCAGGGCAGGGAAGGAGGCGGTTGGCGGGGCTGGGGGGTGCAGGGCAGGGGGAGGGGTGGTTGGGGACTTGCGGGGGATGGAGCGGTTGGGGGGTTGTGGGGCAGGGGGAGGGGGCAGTTGGGGGGCTGGGGGTTCGCAGGGCATGGGCGGAGACGGTTGGGGGGGTGTGACGAAGTGGAACTGTTCTTAATGTTTCCTCTGAATAGTGTAGGGGTGCCTCAGTTTCCCCTAGGCAGTTCTTTAGTATCTAGGGGGTGGGATAAGGGGGTATGATCATTGCAGAGCCCTAGAGGGCAGGTGCGTGCAGGGGTCTGGACACAGAGACTGACTGACACCCTGTTTCCTGGCCACTGATGGCCTGGGCCCTTCCCCCCTGCAAGAGCTAAAGGGTTGGAGAACAAAGGAATCGGTGACCTCCTGGCCCAGGAAAGGAACAAAGCCCAGAGGAGGAGGGGCTGGAGGGAGTTTCAGTTTGGGGCTGGCTGGGACATGGAGTGAAGGGCAGACGTGGTTGTCTGGCTCACTGCCCCCCAAAATGGACCCAGCTGAGGGGTCCCGGTCTCTGCACCTACAAGCTCTGTGTTAGACCATGTCCCTGTCGTCTAATAAACCTTCTGTGTTACTGGCTGGCTGAGAGTCCCGTCTGACTGCGGAGTTGGGGGGCAGGACCCTCTGGCTGCCCCAGGACCCCGCCTGGGCGGACTCGCTGTGGGAAGCGCACGGAGGGACAGAGGAGGCTGAATGCTCCGAGGTCAGACCCAGGAAGGGGGAGGCCGGGGGAGCTGTGTGTCCTGCAGACAGGCTGCTCCTTGAGAGGAGACTCCCCCAGAGTCCTGCCTGGCTTCGTAGGGAGCAGCTCCAGAGCATCGCCCGGGGACTTGGGAAGAGCGGAGTGATGGCCTATCACCGTCTCCTTAAGAAGGACATTGTAACCCTGTGCAGAAAGAGAGGGTTGAGCATTGGAAAGCTCACCAAAGCAGAGTTAATCGTGCAGCTGGAGGAGGATGACTGCTCTAAGGAACAGATTCCTGACCCCAAATGGGGCTATAGCAGGATCTGGGAGCAGCTGGAGTGGGAGCCAGGCATCCCCAAGACTCCTGTCCGTGACCAGATGAGGGTCTTCACGATCAGGTTCCCCATCGGGGGATCGGAGACGGACGGGGTTGGAGCTGAGTCCGAGAGAGCAAGAGGACTGAGAGAGACAGCGAGAGCCCGAGAAAGAGCTGCAGCAGCAGGATGAACTGGCGGTGGGGGAGCGGAGAGGCCTAGGGGACCTCCCAGGGGTGAGTGGGGATAGATCCCGGGGGGCCAGTTCCGCAGGGAACCTCGAGAGTAAATTGCTGCCCCTGGTTATGGGGGGGG